ATGTGTGATTGAAAAATAGAAAAAATTATTGATGGGGTGGAAAATATTATTTTATTAAAGAATGTATGGATAAAAATGAGAATTGATTTACTGTAGAATTTGAGAATAAAAAACAAACACCCCATAAATTAAACTTCGTAGTCTTATGGCATACAAGTTAACTATGTTTATCTTAGTTTGTACCACTTCTAAAGTTTAGAAAGTCATTGTATAAGAGACATTTTGAAAGATCCATAAACAAGATTTCTTTACCGTTTTTAACTACGTATGGAATGAGCATTGTATTACTCCAAATGCGCACATAACGTGGCCTATATTATGCAAAGCATAAATGTATAATTCCTTTTATTAACCTGATCTTGTCAAACTATCAGCTGCTCTTCCGGTAACTGGTCCTTGTTGAAGAACATGGGTGTGCGCAACAACCGCAATAAAACCATCTATTTGACACCCCATATCACTGCATTCCAAGAAAACCACATCATTTGACTATTTGCCAAAAAATATTCAGAGAACGCACAATGTCTCATGCTTGTACATGTTAAAAGCACAAGAAAAGATTACATTTTCAACACGTCACCTTCTTCCAACACAGTCTCATCATTGGCCAGCGGAGAAAAATGGCAGACTGTGTTATTAACCGAAATGCAAATAGGGAATGCCACACCCCTTTCAATCTTTTTCTTCACATTCTTGTACATATTTCCCGTTTGCCTAAAAATTAAGCACATTGTGCAACCACTTAATTGCAACATCCGTCAACACTTTCTGCCAACCATTGTTTTGAAAACCCTCTCTGAGGTTTACGCCTCAAATCCACTTCACACAAGGCTTTCATAAAATGCCTCAAATGCCATTTATGAGGCTTATGCTTTGTGGTGTTTGCTCATTTGTTTTAGACATTTAAAAACTGGCTTAGCTACCAGTAGGGATGACATAATAAATTTCTCCATTGTTTCTACTTCTAGTAGTTTATAATTTTTTATGCTCTTAATTTAAGAACTCAATTGATCAAGCCTTTTTAAACATTATTGCCAACAAACATATATTTTTTAATAATCTTATTAACCAATTCAAG